GTGCATTGTGGGTTTTTCTTATATATATATATACATATATATATATATATATATATATAATATATATATATATATATATATATATATATATATAGCAAGTAACTTTCTTCTGTTTTAAGCCCCCTGAGTACTGCCCCACCCATCAGTGTGAATGAAGGGTCGACCACTATTATACTGCGTCCTCTGCCTGTTGGTCCAGCGAGCGGGGACACCTTCCTGATGGCGCACTTTGACGAAGGTAATACTGCTTTCTGGAATTCCACGTTGTGATTTTATGTCTGGTTATTTGATCTTGTTTTCTCTCCTCTCTTTATTTATTTATCCTCCTATCTTTCATTATTTCTGATGGGAAATGATCTCTCGCTCCCCCCAGAATGCTCAAACTGTCACCTGCCAAAGTTCCTGTATGGCAAGAAGCCCACTCCGAGCCACTCTCCTCCCGTGTACGCCGTGATCCACTCCTGCCACTCCTCGCCCGTGAGGACATCCCGTCACGTGACCAAATTCTACGACGATGGTTTATCTGGAAGATTTTCGTCGCGTTTGTCAGAGCAAGATTTTGCTGCTGACGCCCCTCAAGGCACCTCGGACCCGGCCTACGAGCGCCCTTCACCCCCAGAAACGCTGACTACCCCACAGGCTGCTTCAACCGCCCCCTCCATTGAAGCTCACACGAGAAACGCTGTGTCAACGTCGCCAGCACCTACAAAGAGCCAAGCTGTGACTTTGTCCAGGCAATCAATAAATAATAATGATAATCGAACGTATTACAACAATAGGAATGACAACCTTACCGTTGATGAGGGTGAGGAAATCGGTTCAGATTCAGATTATACGGAATCCCGCAATAATTCAAATTTGCATGAGCAAGAAAGTACTCCGAGGCCTTTGACATCCACGATGATCTCAGTTCTCAATGGTACAAATCAAGACGTGCCTAAATCTAGAGCTTCGGGTACCCTGAGCGACCAGAGCGAAGGTGCTCAGCCATACCCCTTGAAACACCCTGAGGACGACCTGGTCTCAACTCAGCGACCGGTCAGAACGAGAAAACGCGAAATTAACGAGGAGAGCCAAGTCTTCACAGTCACTTACTGGATGTTCTACCCATACAACTACGGGAAAGACGTGTGCACGATCAACCTCGGATATTACCTGGGCCGCATGTACAAGCCGCCAGTCAACGGAACCTGTTTTGGGGAGGAGGTCGGCATGGGAAAGCACGTTGGAGACTGGGAACATGTTTCGATCCAATTCAGAGTATGTTTTGCTTGGGTACTCTGCTGTATGTGTGCATATTGTTTTCATGTTATTGGATTTCTTTAGAATATGCTTTGAGTTCGATAATGCCACTTTTCCTTCCAGGGACGTGTGCCGCTGAACATGTACGTATCGTCTCATAACTTTGGTGCCTACTATCAATACAATTCTTACCATCAACACTTCGAGTACACTGGCCAGGATACAAGGAAGGGCATTCCAATGTCTCCAGAATATCCTAAGATAGTCAGAGTGGAGAGTTCCCATCCAGTCCTGTATTCGGCCCTGGGATCCCATGGCCTGTGGGCAGCGCCAGGTAAAACAGTCAATCATATTCCGTACCATTCTTAACATGTTTTCCATCTGCCGGATAATATACTCGATAACTACGACAAGAAAGACAATAAATTGGACATTGTACTCCACAGGACTGCACCAGTATAACTCCTTCCCGCAACTCGAAGACCTCACGGACGAAGGTACGGAGTGGCGCACGTGGCTCAATTTGGACGTCGTCGATTTGAGAGATCGCGCAGCGCTGAAGCAACCACACAGGTAGGGAGGGGCACAGTGAAGAATAAAATCATGCCTTCGCTGTGCTCTCTTATAAACGAAAACGAATTGGTATCTCAATCTCGTAATAATTGTAATGTTTAGTATAGGTCTTGATGTTTAATACTTATGATATCTGCTCCAGGCAATGGCTGGGTTTCGCTGTGCTATCTCATAAACGAAAACAAACTTATATCTTATTTTCACAATAATTGGAATGTTTAGTATAAACCTTGATGTCTAACACTTCTGGTAATGCTCCAGGCAATGGCTGGGTTTCGCTGTGCTATCTCATAAACGAACACAACTTATATCATATATTCACAATAATTGGAATGTTTAGTATAAACAACGAATTGTATTTTATTCTCGTAATAATTGTAATGTTTAGTATAGGTCTTGATGTTTAATATACTTCTGATAATGCTTCAGGCAGTGGCTGGGTTTCGCTGTGTTATCTCATAAACGAAAACGACTTATATCTTATATTCACAATAATTGTAATTAGTATAAACCTTGATGTTTAATACTTCTGATATCTGCTCCAGACGATGGCTGGGTTTTGCTGTGCTATCTTATAAACTTATATCTTATTTTCACAACAAATGTAATGTTTAGTATAAACCTTGATGTCTAATACTTCTGATGATACTTCAGGCAATGGCTGGGTTTCGCTGTGCTATCTCAT